GTGGTCCTGACAGAAATGTATAGCATGCACAGAAAGATTTTGATAAGATATTAAATATGTAATCAATCAAAGAAATAGTCAACAAATTAGCTATCAAAATGCCTGTTAACTGCAGTGCTACAACAGAATATCTTAGACTTAAGGATGGGCTCTTCTGACTAGTTTAAAATCCAACGCTGATTTGTAAATGAACCGTATTGGCCTTTTGACGCGGTGTTTGTAACTCATGACAGTCAAGGTGGTTGTTGTGAGAGCCAAACGATGTGTTAATAACACCTGTACTGTTCCAACAGTTGTACTCAATGTAGAAAGTTATGCTTCATTTCATTCCAAAGCAGCTTTGCCAGCAGCACTCCACTGAGCCAACTGGCCGAACGTCAGACTTCCCACATGTCAGCGTGATCGGAAAAGAGTCCGAGACAGACAGGAATGTCTGTGCAGTGAAGAGTGATCTGTGATCTGAACGAGGATTAGAATCAGTTTATGACGAGCGTTTTTACTGTTAACTACATTGCTACTATTAAGCTACAGACATTATGAATGGAATATATTTATAATTAAATTAAATATTTTACAATTTTCCAATCTAAATTTTGTACAAATAAATAATCTAATCTAAGTTTTTATTTATCTAGGTATACGCTTTTAGATGAAAATTCTTCTCAGATTTGAGAAGCAAATTAAACAGTGGTAGTGTAAATTATGAATAGATAATTTTTTTTAAATCATAAAGTATAATCCTGTAAAATAATACACACAAACACAATCAACGTGACGGCACAGTGAATCCAGTGCACACTAAGACCCAGAGAGAGAGAGAGGAGCTGAAGGAGGAGACAGAAGTTGTGTCTGGTTACATCAGTCGTCTGCTCTCACTGAAGCTCACGAGAGCACAAAACATGCGTGCACTTCATCTAATACATTATTTATCTCATGACAATACATAATGATTTGTGTGTCTGTGTAATGTACTCAAATAAACTGCTTACAAATACTGTCACTATATAGTTGCACGAAATATGTTTATTATTCAATTATAATAATTGTTTAGTTTGTTTTATTTTGTTTATAATAATTCATGTTTAGACATTAGTATTTTAAATTAATAGCATGATAAATAGTTTTACATAAACTAAAAACTAGAGATAGATATTTGATAATGAATACTTCTGAGACGCTGACATGTCCTGTGTGTTTGTGTGTGTGTGTGTGTGTGTGTGTGTGTGTATATATACATTGTTGGGGAAAGTTACTTTTAAAAGTAATGCATTACAATATTGAGTTACTCCCTAAAAAAGTAACTATAAAAGTAACTTTGGCAAATACACTTTTTTTCCAAAAATATACAAATATACAAAAAAGTCCTTTCAAGCCAAAAGTGAAATGAATAAGCCTCAGGCTGAAGGAAATGTTAATTCACATCTGTACAGACAGTGCAGCTCAAACACACCTTTCAGTTGAAGAATAGGACACAGAATAAGAAAGTTCAACACTCATCAGCAATAATAATAAAAAAAAGAATCACAAATGTTATGTTTATTTAAAGTCATTTTTGCTTATTAGTATAGTTGAATTGGATAATTGAAGGTCAGCAGCAAAGTCATTGGTTAATAAAATGGGATTAAAGGAGACATAAACATAAAAGAGCATAAAGTTGTCACATGTTTGTTTTGTCAAAGTTTTTTTTGTGTTTCCTGTTTGGTTCCTGTTTTTCCTTATTTGGTCATGTTCCCGTGTTCATTAGTTCCCTTGCTCATTGTTTAATTATTAGTTTACCTGTATCACCCGTGTCTAGTTAATTACCCTCGTTTGTCTTGTATTTAAGCCCCAGTCTGTTCAGTCTTTTTTTGTCTGTTCACATTTATTCAACGTTGTGTTTCCCATTGTTCTGCCTTTTTGTTATTAAACTGAGTTTGGTTTGCACCAGCTGTCTCCTTCGCCTTCCTCCTGACACAACCGTGGCAAAAGGACTGTGCTATTTAATTATTGCAGGTTTGCTTCATATTCTGAGTTTGCATTTCACAGTTTGTATTGAGGAATACTAAATCTGTTTTTATGTACGTGAGATGAGTGAAATGCATGTTGACATTTAGTCTACAGCTACAGTAACATCATGTTCACACACCGCACACAGCACCTCTGCACTCAATCCTGATTTCTCTCTATATGAGGACGGAGCTGTCAGTCAATACATGGGAAATCAGAGTAACTGGTGTTACTTATTTGAAAAAGTAACTCCCAACACTGTATATATTAAACTTTTTGCTAATTATTTTATAATTATGTTTATTATTACAAACTCTGCAGTGCGTATGACCTCAGGGGTAACTTAATTATATGAGGACGGAGCTGTCAGTCAATACATGGGAAATCAGAGTAACTGGTGTTACTTATTTGAAAAAGTAACTCCCAACACTGTATATATATTAAACTTTTTGCTAATTATTTTATAATTATGTTTATTATTACAAACTCTGCAGTGCGTATGACCTCAGGGGTAACTTAAAAATGGTAACATCTGAATGAACAGTTTTTATTCATGTCCAAGATTATTAAAAATTATTATTTATTATTGCCAAATGCATTAATTTAAACCAGCAAAATGTTAAGGTATAAATAGCAATAGCTTTTTATGGTAATTGCAGGTAACCATTTTTTGCAGTGCATATTTTAAATAGTACAGCGTATATTTGTGCTTTTAAAAATGTATTTCACACCATTTAAAAAGAACCAGTGGGGTATGAACTTTTTCCTTTTCCCATAATTTCTTTATTACAAAGAAATGCTGAACAGTTGATACTCATATTGTCACGCGTTGGTTTTGGTTTAGTTCCTGTCTGTCATTATTTGGATCGTTTCCTGCTCATTTAGTTAATCATCATTCATTAGTTTCCACCTGTGTTGAATTAATCATCTCGTTTGCTCCTTAGTTGCCTGCCCTTTATAAGCCCTCAGTTTCTGTCATTTCTTTGTCTTGGATCAATGTTATTTTTCAATGGTTTACGGGGTTGATGCTGATTAAAAAGACTCCTTTACTCCTACTCCTACGTGCACATTCTCTACAACCACAACCCGTGACACATATGAGCATAATACCAAATCTAGATATTACCAATATTAGCTTAAGATCTTGATGGTGATTAATAATGTGATGCATCATCCACCCTGTACACATTTTCAGTATTGGTTAATTGAAATACATACCTACAGTAAGTACATATTTGAAGCCATTTTAATGTGATTGGAGAAAATCATTCTTACTTATCCTTTTTGTCCAGTGACTCTTTGTGGTGATTGTGTTGTGAACACAGCAACTTCTGTCATACTGTTTTGCCAAAGACAACAGATACACACCTACACACTGTAGTGTCTGGACCAATCAAACACACAATATATATTTTGTTTTTATATTTAACAAATCCTCTGTAACCCCCCCTCAGTTAACAAGCCATACGAGGACCCATGAACCCTTCCCCCCGGAATGCGTAACACCCCAGGAGGCCGAAGCAGGCCCCTTTGTTGCATGGCAACCAACGCTGATATCACTGGGTTTATTGGCCAAAAGTATCTAAAGCAGGGAAAATCCCTGCATGTCCCAGGACAAACGCACAGTAGAAATGGACTTTTCTAATAATTAATTCATAGGAAAACCTTTCTTTGAATGAACACACATATTCTTCAGGCCATTGTGTATATTATTGCTGTTTTGTATTAATCTGTGGTATTTTAGACTATTTTTATTCATGCTTACGATAAACCACTCATTCATATAAGTAACTCTACCATGTCTAGTATCTATGAATTCGTATTCGGAAGAGAGTCACTAAACATGCAGATTTACGTTACAAGCTTGGTAGAATTGTACAGTAAGAAAGTTATTTCCCTTAACCAGGAAATTAACGTTCTTAGAATTGACAAGACAGTTGACCCTGAGAGGTCAGCTAAATATCTACAGCGGATCTAAAATATGAATAGTTAATTATAACTAGTTATGGTTAATTATTCATATTTCCTGTTGTGAGCTAATTCGCTACAACACCACACTGAAAGAGAATCATGTTCTGTTCATAGTGTACCATAATATACTTGGCTATTTTTAGTTATGAGGGACAGACAGAAAGGTGTGGTGGAGAAAAGCCCAGAACAAATAGTTTTGTCTCCAGGGAAATGTCTCAACCTGTACAAAAAAAAACAAACAACCGGCAGCGTTGAGGCCGGTTGGAGTGCGGAGATCTCCCTCAGAGTCATTCACATGCGTAGGAGGAGGTGTGTTTGGCCAACTTCACATGCAGAAATGCTGTGAATGTGAGTCATGGGAGATTCACTGGCAGTTCTGACACTTTATGTGGAAGTCTGAGAAAACACAAAGCTACCAAAGAGTTCCAAAAACCAGTAGTTGGTTATAAAAATGGGAAAATACATTGTGCATTTTGTGAAATTGTGCATTTTACATGCAGTAGCTTGTAACTTGTTGATGATTTTGCTGAGCGTCAGATATTAAATGATTTGCTTCTTTGTTGTTACACACTACCGTTCAAAAGTGTGGGGTTGATACGATTTTTAAAATATATTTTTAAAAAGTCTCTTATGCTCACCAAGACTGCATTTATTTGATAAAAAACAGTAATAATATGAAATATTGCAATTTACAATTGTTTTCCATGTGAATATATTGTAAAATGTAATTTATTCCTGTGATCAAAGTTTAATTTTCAGCATCATTACTCCAGCCTTCAGTGTCACATGATCTTCAGAAATCACTCTAATATGCTGATTTGCTGCTCAAGAAACATTTCTGATTATTATCAATGTTGAACACAGTTGTGCTGCCCAATATTTCTGTGGAAACGGTGACACATGTTGTATATTTTTTAGGATTCTTTGATGAATAGATGAAAAAGCATTTATTTGAAATAGGTTTATATAAAAATCTTTCCCCAAAATTTGGATCAGTAGTGTACACAGTCACACTTGACAGTCTTTGTATTGATGTTTTATAGGTATGGAAAGATTGTGTCCACCAAGGCTATTCTGGACAAAGCTACCAACAAGTGCAAAGGTGAGTAAAGATCAGCTTTATGTTCTTGAGAGAATCACAATGAAATAGCCTATGCATTTGACATAAATGTATTCACTTTGTTTATTTATGTGTGTGTAGGTTATGGCTTTGTGGATTTCGACAGTCCTGCAGCAGCACAGAAGGCTGTGATGGCGCTCAAGGCCAGTGGAGTTCAAGCTCAGATGGCCAAGGTACGCTCTTTTTATAGGGTTCCATAAAGAACCATGCTTTGAAAGTGCTATATAGAACCTTAAAGGTGCTAAAAATAACCTTTTTAATAATAGTTTATTTTCATTAATATTAGTATGTTTATATCATTAATATTATTTGAATAAATTATTTATTACTATTGTTTTTTTTTACCCCTCTATCTGCCTGGTCTTACAACAACAACAACAACGTGTCAATTAGGTATTTTTTATTTTATTTAATGACATGTGAAATTGTAGCAAAAATGACAGTGACATAACAACCGTTATTAGCAGAATACATTAATGCATTACAACTGACACTGAGCATAAATAGATACTTAAAGAAGTAAAAAAAAAAAAATAGAAACAGAAAAACCAAGTTCTGGTGAAATACTGTATTTTCACAATCCTCTATGATGCCCGTAAGTCCATCATTATGTGTATTTTGGTGTGATTGAGTGGCAGTTTCTCTCTGCAGATGACGAGGTTGTAGGATGTGACAGCATCTGAAATGCACAATTGAGTTCAGAGTTACAATGCGTCTCCTTCCATTTGTTTTTGTAAAAACAACTATGTTTATGAAGGCCAAAAGCAGTATGTGAGCACTTCACAATGTTATGTTTATGCATAAACCCAAGTAATAAATAAAAAATAAATAAATCTAACAATATGGACCATAAATTCAATATCTTTGTTACTTACTTAGTGGAGATGGGGAAAGAAGTATCCTTAACTGGACATAGCTGGTCACACTTACGTGTTCTCTTAAACTAAAAAGAGAAAAAGACATGATTGCTAGGAAACCAGTTACAGTTTGAAAGTTAAAAATAATAGACATTTTAAGAAAGAAATCATTTACCTGCTGAGAGTGTGTTGACAGTCTGTGTACTGTAGTTGGATGGCTGAGGTCCAAAAAATGAGTAATGAGTCATCTTTTTTTCTTTTTTCTTTTTTTTTTTGGAGTGTAGCCTCTATTAGGGATTTACATTAAAACAACAACAGCAACAACATATTGTAAATTAGGTACTTTTTTATTGTGAAATTGTAGCAAAAATGTCAGTGCTCTTAACAACAGTTGACATTGAACATGAATAAATACATAAAGAAGTAAAACACTGTTACACACTACCGTTCAAAAGTGTGGGGTTGATACGATTTTTAAAATATATTTAAAAAAAGTATCTTATGCTCACCAAGACTGCATTTATTTGATAAAAAACAGTAATAATATGAAATATTGCAATTTACAATTGTTTTCCATGTGAATATATTGTAAAATGTAATTTATTCCTGTGATCAAAGTTTAATTTTCAGCATCATTACTCCAGCCTTCAGTGTCACATGATCTTCAGAAATCACTCTAATATGCTGATTTGCTGCTCAAGAAACATTTCTGATTATTATCAATGTTGAACACAGTTGTGCTGCCCAATATTTCTGTGGAAACGGTGACACATGTTGTATATTTTTTAGGATTCTTTGATGAATAGATGAAAAAGCATTTATTTGAAATAGGTTTATATAAAAATCTTTCCCCAAAATTTGGATCAGTAGTGTACACAGTCACACTTGACAGTCTTTGTATTGATGTTTTATAGGTATGGAAAGATTGTGTCCACCAAGGCTATTCTGGACAAAGCTACCAACAAGTGCAAAGGTGAGTAAAGATCAGCTTTATGTTCTTGAGAGAATCACAATGAAATAGCCTATGCATTTGACATAAATGTATTCACTTTGTTTATTTATGTGTGTGTAGGTTATGGCTTTGTGGATTTCGACAGTCCTGCAGCAGCACAGAAGGCTGTGATGGCGCTCAAGGCCAGTGGAGTTCAAGCTCAGATGGCCAAGGTACGCTCTTTTTATAGGGTTCCATAAAGAACCATGCTTTGAAAGTGCTATATAGAACCTTAAAGGTGCTAAAAATAACCTTTTTAATAATAGTTTATTTTCATTAATATTAGTATGTTTATATCATTAATATTATTTGAATAAATTATTTATTACTATTGTTTTTTTTTACCCCTCTATCTGCCTGGTCTTACAACAACAACAACAACGTGTCAATTAGGTATTTTTTATTTTATTTAATGACATGTGAAATTGTAGCAAAAATGACAGTGACATAACAACCGTTATTAGCAGAATACATTAATGCATTACAACTGACACTGAGCATAAATAGATACTTAAAGAAGTAAAAAAAAAAAAATAGAAACAGAAAAACCAAGTTCTGGTGAAATACTGTATTTTCACAATCCTCTATGATGCCCGTAAGTCCATCATTATGTGTATTTTGGTGTGATTGAGTGGCAGTTTCTCTCTGCAGATGACGAGGTTGTAGGATGTGACAGCATCTGAAATGCACAATTGAGTTCAGAGTTACAATGCGTCTCCTTCCATTTGTTTTTGTAAAAACAACTATGTTTATGAAGGCCAAAAGCAGTATGTGAGCACTTCACAATGTTATGTTTATGCATAAACCCAAGTAATAAATAAAAAATAAATAAATCTAACAATATGGACCATAAATTCAATATCTTTGTTACTTACTTAGTGGAGATGGGGAAAGAAGTATCCTTAACTGGACATAGCTGGTCACACTTACGTGTTCTCTTAAACTAAAAAGAGAAAAAGACATGATTGCTAGGAAACCAGTTACAGTTTGAAAGTTAAAAATAATAGACATTTTAAGAAAGAAATCATTTACCTGCTGAGAGTGTGTTGACAGTCTGTGTACTGTAGTTGGATGGCTGAGGTCCAAAAAATGAGTAATGAGTCATCTTTTTTTCTTTTTTCTTTTTTTTTTTGGAGTGTAGCCTCTATTAGGGATTTACATTAAAACAACAACAGCAACAACATATTGTAAATTAGGTACTTTTTTATTGTGAAATTGTAGCAAAAATGTCAGTGCTCTTAACAACAGTTGACATTGAACATGAATAAATACATAAAGAAGTAAAACAC